CGCTGGTGCTGGCCTGCGGGGACACCCCCGGGGTGAGGAGGTGTCACCCCAAATCCCTTTGCCTCTCAATGAACCGTTAGCGAAAACCCAGGCCTTCAGGTTCTTCGTGTATCGGTGGGGGTTTGTTTTGGTGCCGAAATGGTTTCTTTCTCACCCGTTATTTGTTTTAGCACCTGGTAAAATCATACGGGCCTTGGGGAGCGCAGCGGTGAGTCCTTGGTCACTGCCGTTAATTACACAGTTGGCGATTGCTTATCAGAAGGGACGGGTTAATGAACCCAAACCAGCCCCGATACTCGACGTAATCCTCTGTTATCCACCCAGTTGTGCCCGCTTGCCTCTTGGCATTGTGGCGTCTTGTCCTCGGCCGCTGTTTTGTCACCCTCACCCCTCTGGTAAAAATTGGCGGCGGGTGTGTGAGGCCGCCCCCGCCACTCTTCCACCTGCGGATAAGGACCAGGTTTGCCTGTCAGCCCAAGGCTGCTGGGGAATGGGATTAATCCCCTTAAAAGCCAAACCAGAGACATAATTCCCAAATGTGAGTGAATAATGTTGTCTATAGGGTTTCCCAGGTGGGAAATGGGCTTCCAAAGGGGTTTCTAGCTGTTGGTCTGCTCTGCGTATCCCTACAAAACGAAACCCAGTGCAGAATCCCAAGTTCCTCCATCAATACTGCTGCAAAACCAACCGGAGTCCCAAGTTCCTCCACCAGCTGACGTTCTGGGAGACCCCATTCTGAGGGAATACTTCCCGACTCCCCGCCGCTAAATGCTGTTTCTGACTTCCCTGCGGTTCACCGCCGAGACCCTTTCATTTAGGAGAACAGAGAACTGTTGCCGGCGTCCTTTCCCATAGCGGTTTGTGGTTTGCTTAACTGGCTGGGGAGAGAAGAGGGGTGCACGTAATTGAGCTCGAAGCCTTGTTTTTCCCAAAACTGTGAGCTCTGAGGAAAATTTGGGGGTCGATCCTATTGGTAGAGCAGCTGTTGGTCAACAGAAGCTGTAACTGATGCAAATTATTTATGAATGATGGTTGGGTTATGGGGGGCTTTTTGTCTCACGAGGCACTAGAGGAGCATCTTTACCCACAGAGGTAAGGCTCATCGCCTCCCTGGCACCCGGTGTGATGCCAAGATATGTATTTGAGGTCAGATTGTCCCTTTTAATCGCTTCCAAATGGCTCATGGCCTCTTTGTGTGGACACTGGAGATAAAAATCGTGGTATTTGCACCGATTCCAGGTCACCCTGCGCTTTAGTCCAGGCTGCTCCCAGGATTAACCAGAGGTTGGTGTGTAGTGGGCAGGTCCTTGGCGCTGGGACGTGCTCAAAGTGAGCAAGAGTCTGGTGCTCCGTGTAAATATATATACAGCGCTCCTCTTAAATAACGCCTGGGGTGTCCCCCCGCCTCCTGCTGAGGTCACGGCCACGCTGGATTGCATCAGAGGTAGCCGGGGGGGTTGAGGATTTTTTGCTTGGATTGCAAACGGCCGTGCGGGCCTCGCTTCTCGTCTCGTTTGCTTTCTGATCCTCCTCTCCCCAGGAGGATGGGGCTTTCCCCCCCTCCCCACAAAAAGCCACGAGGGAATATTACTGCATTTGAAATTAGTCAGTTAAGAGGGGCTGTTGTCCACTGTACGCTGGAGAATGGTTAGGAGGAGAAAAGCCACCTCCGTGCTGGCCAAGACGATGGACGCTGCTCTCCCGGCGGGGCTGGCGTGG